TCCTCCTGCTCCTGCTCCTGCTCCTGCTGCTGCTGCTACCACTACCACTACCACTACCACTACCACTACCACTACCACTACCACTACCACTACCACTACCACTACCACTACCACTACCACTACCACCACTACGACTGCTACTGCCACTGCTACTGCTTACTGCTTATGTAAGCAAGTGCTCACTGCTGGTGCTACTGCTACTGCTCCTGCTACTACGACGATTACTACTTACTACACAAACAAGAATCTCCACTGCCAACGCAACGCAATCTGCTCGTTTTTGTTTGTCTTGTAAGCTGAGGCGCAGACTGCCTTGGCATCAGGCAGGTGGCCAGTGCAGCAGTTGATCCGACCGTCATCCGGACTTCGGGACGCTCCTCTAGGAGCCTCACTTGAGACGTGTTGACACGCGTCGGTCTACAGTTCTGCTGCTGTGTGCGGTAGTGAAGTTATAGGCTGAAGCGCAGTTGAGTTTTGAGAGGCTCAGAGTGACTGCAGCGACTCTCGAGATTTCCACAAAGTTCTGTAAGTGCATCATGTGTATCTTGGAATTGCAGGTCACGCAATGGAACGTCGGATGGAGAGGCGCTTGCAGATGCTCTCGTAATTTCGGCTGAGCCATCTCGTCTGCTTTGATCGACTTTCTCATGCCTGCCCCGGCATAGCCAGCCTGTCGCCCAAGCAAGAGAACGCTCGGAAGGCAAGCATTTCGAGCTGGTATTTGCATCGAACTCACGCCCCGTCGAACTCACCACCAGTAACCCATAAAGTCGAGCCATGTGAACCCTGCATAGACTCCTAGACCCTAAACCGGATCCGCCTCGCCTGCATTGTCCGAATGTGAGCGCTGAAACCGGCTCCGAATCCTCGGGCGGTCGCGCCTCCACCGCCGTCTCGAATTCGACTGGCTGTTTAGGCATCCCCAGCAAGCCGGTAAGCAGTGCCTTTGACGATGTTCACCAGCAAGTGTTCCAATGTAACTTCAAGATGCACCTTGTGCAAGAATCAGCCGCCCGAAGCTGCAGATAGCTGCAGGGCATGGGGCGAGGAGAAGACTTCTCACGCGTTCACCGCGCGGAGCGCTGACTCGGATGTTCGGTGGGACCAACACGTCCATCTCGGGAATATGTGAAGGGCTCTCCTCCATCGGTTGTCCTAAATCATTGGCTCATATTGGCACCACTTCACGGTTGTTCTTGGCTCTCCGAAGGTTTCCTAGTCTGAGTTGCGGACAGGTTTACAGCATGCCATTGAATTTGCAACCATGCCCGGACCGCCGGATACTCTTTGTCATCCATGTTCCTGGTAATTTTGTCCAGGCTCTTGAACAGCGGTTCTGTGATTAAGGGGTATTTTGGTGCCTTTCACAGCATGTATGTACAGGTCCGCACAGTATTCAACAAAACCTATGTTATGTCACGAGAAATAAAGCCTTAGGGTTTTTTGAAAGTCTAAACGACGAAAAAGAAAGCTCTTCTCAGGATGTGTGCTGCCAGCAGATATCTGGAAAGCCAGCGGCCTGATGCTTTGCCACCTGGGCGGCAGTTCCTCTTTTGGGCGCAGTCCCGGGTTGTGCCAAATCTTGTGCATGGATGGGCCTCATAGGGCCTTGGGGGTCATGGCACGGAGACTTTGCGCCCCAGGACTCAGGTAGTCATGCGATACGCAAGCTGAGGGCATAGTGAGAGCCCAAGCCCATGAGAAAAAAATAACACATGTAATATACCAGATAGGATATACAACCGATACTCTGCACCAGGATTATCAGCTACTGCTTCTTGAATTCGACCAGATCAATCTGAAATTCATCACCTCATGATTCGACTGCCTTGTGAAAAATCATGCCACGTGAAAATCGTTCGAGATTCGCAGCTTCAACTCGACATACCTCATTATCCTTGCTGCCCATTCTTCATGTCCTTGTATCCTCTCGGTCTCCGTGTCAGCGAGCTGACTGTTTGGCCGTTGTGCATGCACCGTTCGTTTGCCCAGCTTCTTTTCTTTCTGCTTCTTGTCTGTTTATCCAACTGTCTGTACGTGTGAAATGTCGGTCTATCTGACACGCAGGACAAGCTCATGAAAAAGAAGGCTTGGGATATGGGGTGACGTATCCAGGGAAGCTAAGAAGAAAGGTAAGAAGGCCCACATTGGAAAGGTCTTTGAGATATGCGTTGAGAATGAAAGCGAGCTTCCTGCGACTGACCCTATGAAGAAATTTAAGGGTAGGACGGTTTTTCACGGTAACAACATGCGGGACGAGAACTCTGATTCCGCGCTCTTCTCTGAACTGGGATCAAGTCCTGCGTCCATGGAAGCAGGCCAAGCTCTGGATGCTTATGGTCACGCTCCTGGAAATGAGCGTCAACAAGCTGATGGCAAACAAGTCTACATGCAAACCACCCTTAAAGCGGCCAACATGGGTGAGACTTCCTCGCAATAGGTGGCCCAAGGAATCCAAGGAATGGGTAGGCAAGTGTAAGAATCCCGCACTCCGTCTTCACGTCGCTTTGTTTGGTCAGTCTTTACGCGTAAAGTGTCGGTCTATCTGACACGCAGACGGTAGAAAGCATAGTGCTAATCGTGGTAGCAAGGGAGCACGACAGCAGGACGACTCGGAAGCGCATAGCATACATCACTCAGCGCTCCAGGTGAAGACTCTAAACCCTAAAAGTCCCGACACCCTGACACCCATAGCAAGCCGTATACACCCACAGAAATCCCAAATCCCCATACGCCTTACATAAGCCGCCGGAGCCTGGGTCATCTCCAGGTTCGTCGACCCCTTGGCGCCGAAGTTGGCAGGACCGCAAGGAATGGCACAGCCCATGGGAACCGCGGCAGCAGTGGTTTTCAATTATGGGGTTGAGGGATTTGGGGAGCAAGGGTTGGATTCATACTTTAGGGCTCAACGCCTGCATTTTGAGGAGGGGGGGGCTTCATAATTTGTGCTTGAGATCCAGTTTAGTAACTAGTTGGCACCTGAGTGTTGCAAGGCTTGCGCGTTGAAGAAGAGGCAAGGTGAGTTAAGGGTTTAGGTTTTGAGGTGGTGGATGCTCAGATTTCGGAAACCCTTACGTGAGTGAGCACGTGGGGTCAAAGAAAGGGCTCGAAACAAATAGCAACAGTATAGCTTCTTAGTCGTTCTATGATATATAATTCAGCACCACGCTACAATCCATCCCAAGACAGTATTCTAATCATTAAGGGCCCTATATTAGCAATTTAGCAATGTCATCGGATTCAGCGCCGCGACCTCTTGTAGCCAAGCCAAGTAGTGGAAATAGATAATATGCCGGGAGCAGTCACAAAGCTAGTGATGGGATGGGGCAGGGATGTCCTCTGAGGTGCTTGGATCATGGTTCCCAGAACACGCTTCGGAGATGACCTCGCTGCTAGACCGAAGGGGACTGCCTGCATTGAGAGTGGGCAGTTGCAGGAAATTATCCTGGTCAGGGTGCAGTAGGATGTATCGTTTGGGAAGATGCAAAGCGGAGTTGCGACCGCCCAGTCACTTGCTTCTGATCGAGATCCAGGTTTACAGCCTAAACGGGCTCGGTACACTAGGTACATTAATGTCCCGCCGGTTACCACTACCAGGGATGCTGTCGAGGGAAAAGCCGAAAAGATCCAGAAGAAAACTGCAGGGTCAATGCAGGGAGGTGATGATGTGCTGACAACCTCGCGGCTGTACGTCCCCTTGTCTTCTGTCGCCAATCTCAAAAAAGGGGCCTCCAGCTGACAGGGGTTTGAACGCAAAGGCAGAAGTTAAGCCGTGCCAAAAGGCGCCCAACACGTGCTGCCATGACCTCAGGTCAAGCATCACTACACGAAGCGGTCGAAGCCTTGCCGTCAGCTTGTGCTTCTAGGTGCAGGCCGAACGCTCGACGAGGGGTTGCTCCACAAATCTCCATAACATATGGTATACCGTATACTGTATGATCTTCGGGTCTTAAAGACGACAGGGTTGAATGGGCTAGCCTGCCGGACACAGTGCAGGTGCATAGGATTGAGGCGATTGCTCGGCATTAGGCTGAAACGCCGTTCAGGCAGGAAGCACCGGATGTCATGTGACTTCGGAGGCTTGAGATGGGATGGCGGCTTGAGATTTCAGCGGGGTGCGGGGCGGCTCTTTTATAGTAGTCACCCTTATGGATGAACCTTTACAGAAACCTCCATAGTCAGTCACAGGGTTCACACGCGGTGAAAGCAATTTGGGACGCCCGCACAGGGATGGACTCGCGTGCGTTCCGCCTGCGCTTCCCAGAGCTGCGCGTCTTCGAGGTCGACCTGCCAATCCTCTTCGATGCATCTTGCCCCGGTGTGTTTTGCTGCCGGTTTTGGGGCTTGAATTTCAGAACACCCTCAACTGCTCGATGTGTTTAATTTCTTGTCGGCATCGCCTCCGTTGGTAACGACCGTGTTACAACATGCGTTTCGAACTCCAGAAGGAAGCAGGAAAACTTCCGTACTCAAGTGTTCAAAGAGAGGCCTTCACACATGCCTGTTACAACCTGTGACAGCTTCCGCTGACGGTCTACGCCCACTGGAAGAGTGAATTACTCTTAGAATGTTCCAAACCTAATGCAGTGTTCTTCCGTCCCCCTCCCGCCCTACTTCAGTGCCCTGCATGTAAGGAGAAGGAGCCTCTTCTCCAAGATGAGCCCATCAGCGCGGCTGATCTGCATTTCAACTCGTCTTCTAAATTCAGACTTCCAGGGTCGATCGGGAAGCGCCGTTTAAAGCGGGTTTTTTGCATAGGGGACAGCGGGCGAGGCGAGGTGAGGCAGGCAGGTGCTGGTTGTTTGGGACAATGCAAGGCAATCAAAGCCACCTGCTGCATGCATGCATGCATGCATGCATGCATGCATGCATGCATGCATACATACATACATACATACATACATACATATATATATATGCAGAGAGAGGGAGAGAGAGAGATAGAAATAAGCACGAGAGTGGCAGGGAGATGTACAAATGCACATTCCGTTGCACGCACTCGTTTGTGGATGCTGACAAAGAAAGCTCCGGGATGTACCTACAATCCTTTCGCCCAGAGGCAGGTTTAGTCGCATGCATGAATAGATAGGGTGAGCAAAAAGATGTCAACATCCATACTCACGCCCTCACTCTCCTTTGAATGCCAAAGGTATCCCCAGGTGGTTCAGGCGCATCGCCTTCGTATCCTTGAGGGTTTGAAGCGATTCGTGAGAGGCAGCAGGGAGAAAGCCGCCCGATCCCGAAAGCGCCGCAGACTCCTGGCGCTCCTCTTAGGTGTTTTCACGCACCGTCGTCCCTACGGACTTTTCCTCCACGGACGACTGGACTTCCAAGCTGCTGTCTTTCTCTCCCTCGCAGGCGGACCGATGCCTCGGAATCAGAGTGGGTTTGGCCTCGATGCCTGATTTTCTAGTGATTCTAGTCTTCGAATCTTCGGGATAGCCGGGCCTTGCGCATGAGCTTTGCGCGCGAGGCAGTCCATTAGGGCGCTCGGGGCGCTAGAGTCACGAGGGAAGCCACACTTGACCGTGACATCGGGTACCTCACAGGAATCCAGCGAGGAATTGCGCCGTCATCTCTGCAGATCCTGAGTTTGTCACAGCCAGCTGAAACCTTTTCCTCGGCACAGGTCGGCCCATGGGCAAGGACGCGCAAAAGAGGTTCACACTTATCTTTTTGCCGGGCTTCGGTGTCAGAAAGGGGCTTGTCTTGGCTGATGCAGTTTTCAGTTTTTTGGAAGCCCTTCGCAAGAATTGCTATTCCGAAGAGGCGGCTGCAATGCGGCAATAACCGAAGCGACGCCTGCACTTACAAGGCAATACAGGGCATAGTCGTTTGACGTGGAAATCGGTGTTCGGGAAGCAGAGACAAAGACACAGCAGACATGCCCTAAACCCTAAACACTAAAGGTGGTTGGGAGGGAACAAAGGGTGGTTGTTTTGCCGTGTTCCAGGGTCCAGGCTCGGGCTGGCGATGCTGAAGTGCCACCGTAGAGGGCCTGACGTTCGCATATCTTCGCTCTTCGGAGATGGCGCTGCGGAAAGGTAAGGGGGTTTCAGGGTTCGGTTGCGCGTGCTTCGCAAGCTCTGTGCTGCTAGGTGTATGGCTCCCTTCGGAATTACGTCTTGCTGCCATTTTTTACTTGAGGTGTGTCTAGGGGATGTTTCGTCTATCTTAAGTGGGCAAAAACAAATTCTAAATCCCAAAAAACAAATCCTCGAAGCCGCTAGCAGGTGGAAAAAGGAGCTTTAGACAAGAATAAGCCCTAAGCCTTCTAAACCCTCAGCCCCGATGATTACCTGGATGACTGCACGCAGGGCCCTGAAGAACGATGCGCCCTTTGATCCTTCCGTTCCCACCGTATGGCTGCAACCCAGCTCAACAGCTTTGGATCAGGAGTTTGGGGTTGAGGGTTGACTTTGGGACCAGCATTCGGGGTCTCAGGGTGTAGGGTCGAGTTGAGACTGCACAAAGAAAATAACGGCACAACGACTCAAGAAGGCTTTTTTCTTGCAGCGGCGCCGCTGTTTTAGAGATGTAGGTTCATGTTGTACGCAGCAGCGGAATGTACTTTAGGTCTAGCATCATGTGTGGGCTATCCGAACCATGTAGCTGCACTCCACTGCATGATGAGACAGTCCGGGTGTTTACGATGCCTGTATGCGTATGCACAACTGGCCAGAACGTAAGACTGCTGGCCTAGGTGGCTGAAATCAAGCCTTGGAAGTCGGTTATAATTTGGCCTTGTGACCTCATGCCGCGTTTACAGTCCGTGTATGTATATATATATATAAACACAAGAGAAAGAGAGAGAGAGAGAGAGATATATATATATATAGATAGATCGGTGCTCTCCTACAGCGCTTTGTCTCGGTCCTGTTTCGCATGGCCCAAGCCCAAGGCTTGAGGGACTGATGATGTACCTCACCGAGCGGGAGGCTACGGCCACGCTGCGCCGCGTTGGGGCCTTGCACCTTGGCGAGGGAGCTCCCACAGGAGCTGCGCAAAGAGACGGTGTGTGTTTTTTTTCAGCAGTCCGTCATGAACACATCTTGGCGATGATGTAGAAGCTGTTCTGTGGCACCCGACTCCCAGCAGAAGCCCCAAACAATAATTAGTTTATCTGCTGACCTACCGCGGAGCTTTGCCTGGAGGATCATGGAGGTGTGAGTGCAGCAAGCCCGCTCCTTCAAAGTAAGTCTGCATTCTGGAACTGGTGTAAAACACTATTTCCGAACCCCCTTAACCCCTAAATCCGAACCCCCGCCCCCACTTTAAAAATATAACACAAAACGCCGTTTCTTCGACAAAGGTCTGCTCCAGGATCTTCCATCTTCTTCGATGCAGTGTCTGTCTGAGACTCAAAGACTGTCCCCAAAGTCGGTCTTGGGGCGGGGGTGTAGGGGTTGTAGGGTTCAGGGGGTTGCAGAAAGCACGGGTTTGGTTTTTTTTAGGGGTCAGAGTTATATGGATAAAAGGATGAAGGCTTTCGGATGTTGCGTTTAGGATACGAGTTCTTCAACTCAAGATGATGTTACGCTCGTCCAGGGAGCGGCCTTCAACTCAGAGGCCGTTTGAGTCTGTTGCGGGTAGCACGACAATGCTGATTGATTGTTTGGGGTGAGGCCGTTGCGGGTAGCACGACAATGCTGATTGATTGTTTGGGGTTACTGCAATGTCGCTTTCCTTCTCAAAAGTCAGACAAGAAGAAGATGGTCAGATGGTCGCGGGTCAGAGTGATTGTTTGATTGAGTCTGCTTGCATGTGCTCTGGGATGCTCTCAGTGGCCGAGCGGGCATAGTGTGCATGCGCAAAGGCCGTGACTAGGCACCATGCCCCTCATATGTTTCAACCCGCCTTCCAAAGCCACAAGCACATTCACCTGTGGGCTTTGGAGGGTTGCATGCAGCATGCCGTGAACCGAGGCAGCTTATGTCAAGCAGAACATCGTGGTCGGCGGTGCGCCTTTCCTAGGAGGCCGGTCATGCTGAGGTTTTCGTGTTAGCACTTCTGCAAGCCTTGACCCCAGCCCGACCCATGAATCCGTGCCTGCCCTGTGCGAGTCTGCGAGACGAGACAACTTGATCTGCTTGGCCTAGGCTCCGATCGTTACGCCGATTGGTTACGTGACCTCGCCGGCTTCACCCAGACGCAGGCTCGCGCAGCCCAAATCTGACAGCGTCTTCAACCGGCTTTGAACTCGAAAAGTTTGGGGCATTGGCCGATCCAGATGCAAGGAGGAGAGATCTTTGCTTTGGAGAGCACCGGGGCCAGAGATGTCCAGAGGTTGTTCGAGTGTTGCTTTGTCTCTCTCTCTGTGTGTGTGTGTTCTCGTTCGTTCGTTCGTCTGTCGGAATGCACGGAGATGGCTTCGGATGTCTTGGTGATGGACCCTTGATGAGTGCACACATACCACATTTTCAACACGGATACTGCAGCCGGAGGGCTGGAGGAGAGGCACCGGCATAGGCAGGCTCTGAAGGCCAAACAACAGCAGAGTGCGCATGAGTAGCTCTCAATTGCTTGCCGCATGCAATGTGGATTGGAGCTCGTAAGCTCGTCCAGCCTAAGACTGCCCGGAGGTCTGGGATTTCAGCACCCTCTGGGTGGATAGAGCTTCACGTGGAGTCTCCAAGGCCGATGCCCGCTTTGTAGAGTGCCGACGGAATTGCAAAGAAGTGAGGCTCAGATTCAGCACTTGCAGTCATGACGGGATCATGCAAGAAAGAGGCTACGAATTGTTGCGGTCCTTATCGCATGATTCTCTATAGTCTACCGAGTCCAATTAACGGTTACTTGTGCTTGGATTTGGGATGCTGACCAGAACAGCTGATGAGGCATGCGCGGCACTATGCTTGCACTGTCAGGAGTCAGAAACTGCATCAGGATGGCCGCCTTTTTCCTGCGTACCCAGCCCATCCTTCACAGATTCATGGGCCTTCTGACAATATTAATGCATTGATGCACGTGGCCAATGTCGCAGCCTCCGGTCCACACGGTAGCTTTCTGTTGAAGCCCAAGGTTACAAAATCACTCTCCTGTGCATTGCACACTCGTTGGCACCTCGGGCCCTAAACGCAGCATGCAAAATGCATGAACAAGAAGCCCCTGGAATATGATGCGGCAATGATGCCTTTCTTTCGAAGCAGAACCCGAACAGAAAGAGAGTCCTTGCAAAGTTGAAGCGGCTCACATGAAGGCCTGGGCAAGGACCGTGAACCGTGCGGATCAGGTCCGGGGAAAGACACTCGGGTGAGAAATTCCTAAGGTTCGAGGGGCAAGATGTCGAAGCGATTATCTGCTGATGTCCTGGAACGGGAGTTGGTCTGGCTTGCTCCAAGAATTGGTCCATGACAGCGATGAAACAATGAGGGGACCCCCTTAGCCCAGAAAGTCTTGCTCCGCCACAGCAGAAGAGAAAACAAACAATATTCCTCGTGCCTGCTCGGGCTTTTTGAAGCCTCCGTCAAAACCCTAGACCCTGAACTTCTAGGAACGTGGTGCTCTTCGTGGAGGGTGAGAAGCCCTGATCCCGGCTTCAGGCTCGAAGAGAGGGGTCGGGAGTGTCTAGAAACTCCTGAGCTTCTGTTGGGAAAGCTGACATCTCTGTCCTATTCCGTCCTCCCCCACAAACCTACGGGATGCTTCCGCGAGGGCTTTGCGGTCTTGCTTGAAGGTGCCACCTACGTACTGATACTTTACCCCTTTATCCCTAAACCTCCTCAAACTCCCTAAGCCCGAAGCGCATAGTGGTATTGCATGGTCATGTGCCAGACTTGCATTAGCATGTCATATCAGTGTTTTCGTTGCCCGTGGCCGCCTCTGCCGCGGGAGTGCTAAAGTCTAAACACAACCCCTAATTAATGGGAGCTGAGCATGGTTATTTCAGGATTCCTTTAAAAGCTTTTTTAAAGGATTCTGTGAGGCTTCGAGGGCCCAAGACATCCCTGACCTGTGGCAGGCAACGTGGGCAGACTGTGAGATGGGTCGAGCTTTGATTCCTTGGCTGCCGGGTACACATCAGACGGAGCAAGGCTGCAAAAGCAGCCAGCAAGCAGGCGGTTGTTGATCTGGCTTCTAGATTTCTGTTCCCGCAAACGTTTTGCTCTGTTAATACAGGCTGCAGTCTCAACACGGCCACAAGAACTTGGGCATCCCAATGCAAGATGTCACATGCATGTACAGCAACTGGGTCTCGTTCTGAAGGGCTGCATTCGGGCTCCGCAGAATCCATGACTTGAGTTCTTGTTACAATCGTTCAGTCAGCCTACAGGCGGTTTAGGTCGTGATTCAGTCACCAAAACCCCAAAAAAACTCCGAAATCAGGGTACCTGGCAGCCTGCAGTTCATCTTTCCAATACATACCTTTTGTAAACTACCAGCAGGGCAGGCGGCCCTCCCGGTCAAACAGGCCCTGTGAGGGGCAGGCAATTGCAAGCCACTCAAGGAGCAACTGGCTTGTTCAGAATGGTTCAAGACTGGTGGCGAAGGGTTGCCTTTCAAGTCTGATATTCATCCAAAGCAAGACAAGTTGACATACAGCAAGAATGTATACCATGTAAAACTGTATAACTGGCATGAAATTATGACATCACATAATAGGCCGAGAGGGGCAAAATAAGACTACGTACATACCACAATATATAGCAATATAGAAGTAGATGATAGAATAAAAAATCAAGAGTAAGAAAGTGGTAATGCGTAATGGCAGCCGCAATAGTAAGAGTGACAGTAAGACTTGTGGCAGCAGTTTGAGTAACGGGAGTCCACAAAAGTTCGCAACATTGACATGATGTCTAAAAGTTCTAGAGTGCAGCAACTGCACAACATAGTTGTTCTGGTAAGACGGCAAGTTCAGGTCTCGCGTGCATGGTTTTGCTGCATTTGGAAAGCGCTAGTATTCAGTCCGGCGGAAATCGTGGGTCACAGTGATGACAACAGTCGTAGTGGCAGCAATTTTTAGTCCACAACTAACTAGTCCAAGTGATCATAGTAGGCTGCATAGCAGGAGCCTACGAGTTGAGCGGAGCCGGGGCTGCTGCGGCCATCCCCATGTACAGCGCATCAAAGCCTTTCTGGCAGCATTGCTGCCACAGCAAAGATGTGGATGAGCACCTCAGACACATGGCGAACACGATTCAAGGGATGAATCCCATGTGTGATGTAGATTCTGCAGATCTAACCACAACAACATCTCTTTGCGTTCTGCTCGTCGCCAAAATACTGCCAGAATGGAGCCCAAGTAGTGGACAACAAAGCAACTTTCGTGCAAGCCCAAGAACCCTTTCGGGAGCACCCCTGAGGCTCTCACTACTATTCCATGAGTCCAAAACAGGCAAGGCACGGCCGAGAGAACCTTTTAACGTAAGAGCCCACGGTGTTACCATGCCGTTACAGCAGGAGAACTACACCACAGACAGTATGCAACTGCGGCCAGGGGGTCCGAATCCCAATCCTCAACCAGTTGCTGGTGTTAAGACCGCAAAAAACATGGTGTCTCATCCGCAGTTTTCTCGTTTCGGCTGCTCTCAAAATGAGAGCAAGCCCCGACTACCTGGGTACTGGCATAAGCCGCATTGAGCGCACCAGCCGTCGCACTGTCCAGTTCCAGCGCAGCGACGTGACTGACGAGGCAAGCAGCCGACGCTCCAGAATAAAGGTAATTAAGAGTCATGGCACGATTAGGCCATTGGTACATATGTTACTTTCCCTTGTCGGGCTAAGGGAATCCCATTTAAGAACCCGTTTCAGAGTCCGAAGGCTGTGTAGAGGCCACCTCGAACATCGGTCAATCCAATTGCTCGCGCGATGGCTCAAGCTGCTGGTAGGGAGGCCGACAGCTGTCATGGACCGCAAAAGTTCAAGACGTCTCTTCGGAGCCCAAACCTTACTATGCTGCACTCTACCTTACTGTACCACACTATACCAATATTATTCTTTACTGTGTTCTATTGGGCTAAACGATCCCAGACTAATACTTATACTGCAACTGGAAAGCTGCCTGTGAGAGATTGTTCAGAGAATCTGGAATGGGAACCCATATGGTGCAATGTAGAAAAGCATAGGTTAAAATTAGTACAACATGGTATGTGGATTCCCTGTGTACCCGTGGCAGGCCAACCTAAACAACCGGGCAAAGATCTCATGCTGAGGTTGACATGGTGCGAAGAAAAGGGGGGGACAGTCCTACGTTGCAAGCTGTTGATGGACTGGCCTTACGGTTTATAGGGTGTTTAGCACAACGGTACGATAAACGGCACTTGAATACTATAGGAGCTTCAAGCCATGTTCGACCTCGATGGCCTCGACCCACTGCTTTCGAACGTAAAGGGGAAGGTTGGTACAAAGGGGGAAGGGGAAACGGAAGAAGTAGGGTTTCGGTTTCGGGGTTCGAACAAGTCTAAATCCCCAAGCCACAGCGAACTTGAAGCCCAGAATGATGAGTAGCGTGAACACCTTGAGCTCAAAGTCCGAGGCAGAATGTTGGCACCCAGACCCATTTAGGGTTCGGTTCAGGGTATACAGTTTGAAGCGTGGTGTGTCAGAAAAGATGAAAAGTCCCTCCTAACCTGACAGGATCGAATCACCTTTCGTGTGGTGTCAGGTGCATCTTCCGACATCTTCCTCGGATATGGTCGATATGTACAGGTAGCTACGTTTCAGAGAGTCCAAGCTTGTGCCCGTATGTACTTGTTTATTCTGTGTCCATGGCCGGATCTCTATGTCGATCTGCCTATATACCCTTTCTTGATTCATGTTCGCATGCCCACAAGTCTACACTTGCAAAGGTACATGGGGTAACGAATGTATGGACGAACATGCGCAAATACAATCATGCAGGCAGGCAGGCAGGCAGGCAGACAAGACAGGTAGCCAGAGGCATACATAATATGTATAAAATATGTTTGTCTCTCTATATGTTTACCCGTGCTACGTATATGTATGTGTGCATGTATGTCATCATGTATGCATATCTCTATATACATACATATATATAT